CACAGGAAGTGACTTAGAGCCAAAAAACTGCACTTAAAGTGAACCTTTCACAGAATTTTCATGGCAACAATTGCCTTGCTCTGAAACTGTGACTTGCTCAAGGTCCCCCAGTGGGTTTCCATGTCTGAGCAGGGAGTTGAACCCTTGCCTCCAGATTTGTAGTCCAATGCTCAAACCACTATACATTCCCTTCCCTAAGTTATATGTGTTCTCAGAGCAGAAAACAAGGTGCTGGTAAGGTCAGGAAAGCTAGAAAACACAGTCCCAAGATGCTGGTATTTCTGGAAAACCACAGAAAGATTTAGTGCCCTTTCAGACTGGCACAAAACCCGTAATGGGTTCTGGATTATCCTGGTATGTCCAAATAACACCTCAGGATAATCCATATAAATTCACATTAATCCAAATGACACCCATATTAATCCAGGTTTATTCCGGATTTTAAAAACACCTGCTAAGATCCAAAACTTTCAATAAGGTCTGGATCTTTGCAGGTGTTGGGCCTATGGAGATTGACTGTCAGGATCACTTTGCATGATCTTGAGGGCCAATCTCCATTGCCCTCCTGGGTTTTCAGGCTCTAAGAGCCCAAGGGAGCAGAATAGCACTCCCAACCTCCCCTCTCAGCCCCCCCCCCCCCCAATTTCCTTTCAAATTTACAGGCTTGCAAACAGAAGCAGACCTGTTCAACAGAATATCTGTCACATCATTTTGATCAACTTGGGAGGGTATCTAGCCAGCCCTTCATCAAAATCCCGGGATTTGGGCCTGCTGTCTGGCTTAAATCCTAAGAGGAATTGGGATTTTAAATCCTGGTTCCTCTTGGTATTTTGGCCTGTCTTGAATGGCCCATAGTTCTCAATCTTGCCTCTGTAGGTTGACCTTCTCTCCTCTCTGCTGGCTGCCTCTTGACTTCGATGGAAGAACAGGGAATGGGCTGCCTTTTGCTGAGTCCAGCAGCATTTGATGTCTCACTAGCAGTAGTGTAGTACACTTTCCCCTGTCCTGCACTCTTTTTTCCGGTCACAATGAAAATGGGAGCCCAAATATTTATTTAAATACTAGCTGTCCCCTGCCACGTGTTGCTGTGGTCCAGTCTGTGTGTATATGTCTTGTGTGTGTATATATTTCTGTATATGTGTGTTTGCGTGTGTGTGTGTGGTTTTGTGCATGCATTGTAATGTTGGTTTTTTTGCTTTTTAAGTATTTTCTGCTGTGTTTTTCTGTGTTTTTATGAGTGATGGTCACTCGTTGGCCTGTTAGGGGTATCATGTCCAAATTTGGTGCTAATTCATCTAGTGATTTTTGAGTTATGTTAATCCCACAAACGAACATTACATTTTTATTTATAAAGACTAGCCGTCCCCTGCCACGTGTTGCTGTGGCCTAGTCTGTGTATATGTGGGGGTTTTTTTGTGTGTGTAGGTGTGTGCATATTTATTTGTATATATTTGTATATGCACATATGGATATGAGTACCAACCCCCAGAGTCGGACATGACTGGACTTAATGTCAGGGGAAAACCTTTACCTTTACCTATGTGTGGAGCCCCCAGTGGCGCAGTGGGTTAAAGCACTGAGCTGCTGAGCTTGTTGATCGAAAGGTCGCAGGTTCGATTCCGGGGAGCGGCGTGAGCTTCCGCTGTCAGCCCCAGCTTCTGCCAACCTAGCAGTTCGAAAACATGCAAATGCGAGTAGATCAATAGGTACTGCTCTGGTGGGAAGGTAACGGCGCTCCATGCAGTCATGCCGGCCACATGACCTTGGAGGTGTCTACGGACAACGCTGGCTCTTCGGCTTAGAAATGGAGATGAGCACCACACCCCAGAGTCAGACATGACTGGACTTAATGTCAGGGGACTACCTTTACCTTTACCTTACCTATGTGTATATATGCGTGTTTGTGTATATATGTGTGTGTGTGGTTTTGCGCATGCATTGTAATGCATTTTTTGTTTTTTGGCTTTTTAAGTCTTTTCTGCTGTGTTTTTCAGTGTTTTTATGAGTGATGGTCACTCATTGGCCAGAGAGGTGTGTTGTGTCCAAATTTGGTGTCATTTCGTCCAGTGGTTTTTTAGTTACGTTAATCCCACAAGCGAACATTACATTTTTGGGTTGTTGTAGGTTTTTCTGAGTTATATGGCCATATTCTGGAGGCATTTTCTCCTGACGTTTTGCCTGCATCTATGGTAAGCATCCTCAGAGGTAGTCACCTCACTACCTCTGAGCATGCTTGCCATAGATACAGGCGAAACATCAGGAGAAAATGCCTCCAGAATATGGCCATATAACCCGAAAAAACCTACAACAACCCAGTGATTCCAGCCATGAAAGCCTTCGACATTACGTTTTTATTTATACAGAAGCATATAAAACTGCCTTGAAACCATCAGGTCAAAGGTCTATCCTGTTCATTACATCTTCTCAACAAAAAAGCTATGGAAGCTCACAGGATGTGAAGGGAATGGTGGACCTTCTTTTCTTATTTTCAACAGCTGACAAACTGATATTCCTGCTTTCTAAATAGAAAAAAGGGGAATGGCTGTATATTCAGGCACTGAAAAGAAGTCGTAAGATTAGTTTATGTGTCGTGGCCGCCCAGCAGGAATAAAAGCCAAATGAGGTTACCTCTGTTGCTTAGCGGGGTGACCACAGCACGCGTAGGCCCTGCTGTGTTGCTGATACCAGGAAATCTTTTTAATTATGTGTCACCTAAGATTGCCAATAAGATCTCAGTCCGCATTCATTATAATGAGTACATTACTATGTAGCAGAACAAGATACAGTGTGTTGGTTTAATGCAGAACCCCTCAGGCAGATTTTGGAGGGATGGACTGATGAATAGATACATTTATACTATGTATACATACATTATATCACTCTATTGATTTTTGAAAAGTTCCAGGTCTGCCAAGCTGTAATGAGATTTTTGAACTTTGGGCTGTGATCAATGAAAGGAATATTATTGGCCTGCAGAATTGATATAACCCTTCTCCCTGGATTGTTCTGCTCCCAGGCTGCCCCTGCCCCCCACGGATAGGATTCCATCAGACACTTAGCCTCTCTCAGAGTGTCGTCAGGCTAAAAGGAATCTAATAGTGACACAGGACTTGTACATAGCTCTCCGGCACTATTGCTTTCCTGTCACAAATAATTTATAGCTTTCTATTTCCATCCCTTTGCCTGCACCCCATCATTGCTTCCTGGGGCTACTGCAGTGGAGGGGGTATGAGCATGGGGGTAGGATCAATATATCCACACAAGCAAAACTTCAGGGTACTTTGGGGGAGCAAGGAAGGAACAGTTGTGATGTGTGCCCTTTTTTTTGTCTCAAGTGTAGGATAGCTCTAGACTCTGAGCTTATTTCCTTCAGGACAGCTTTATGGGGCATCAAAACAAATGATGTAGAGCCCTGTAACTAAACCGCAAGTCCCAGTTAAAAGTCCATCTATCCTTCTGTTTCTGGTGACAACCATGCAGGTGCCTCTGGATCACTGATACCAATACAATGCTAATGGCTCTCCCTGGCTCTATCTGCACTGCGATATAATACACTTAGAAACTGCATCATATCATCAATGTAAACCATTAGCTCCCAACCTGTGGTCCATAGCCCACCAGTGGTCTGCAAGAACGAAAATATAGCCTACAGCTTCATCATTACTACACCATTGCCTCAAAACCATGCAGCAATGAGAGCAACTGGTCTTGTGAAACCCTCTTATAGTGTCAAGGCAACAGGGATGTTGGGAGGGGACAGGCTGACTACCCACGAAAGATTACTACTACCACATCAGCTCTGGATTATTAAATATGGTTTTCTGTGGGCGAGCAAATGGTGACTACTGGATGGCATGTGTTCAATATCAGAAACTAGAGCTGATGTGGTCTATCCAATGCAATTTTCTGAATCAGCACCCCAAATAACCAAAACAAATCTAAAGTTGACCAAAAACTGATTTGTAACCTTTTTGGTATTAATGTTGGAGAATGGTCCCTGGTCAAAGTGGTCCCTGTTCAAGTGGTCCCTGTTCAAGTGGTCCCTGGTCACGTGGTCCCCTGCTTGAAAAAAGGCTGAGAACCACTGTTGTAGACTTATATAATGCAGTTTCAAATTGCATTATATGGCAGTGTAAATGGGGCCCCTGTCAATTCCCCTCTGGTTCTAAGAAGCATACATCCTCAAGTATGGATGATTTATTAGCTGTACTTTACAACATTTAAGTATAACTAAATAAAATGTCCATACTTATCCAAATATTGCCCAGTCTCACATCTTATACTCTAAGTGAGCTTCATGAGATAAACTCTGTCTAGCTTGAAAAAGTACTTTTTCGTGCATGTCTTGAACTTATGTTATTACTACATTTATGACATCTGAGTCCTTTAAAAACTTTCATGTTAGTTTCTCTTTGTAAGAAGAGAAATGTAGTTCTGGATGGCTATGGCACTAAGTCCAGGTTGACTTTTCCCTCATCCAAAATGCTTGAGACCAGAAGTGTTTCGTATTCTGTATTTTTAATTCTGTTGAAATACCTGTATTGGCATATACATACACAATAAGATGTCACTGAGATGTGTCCCAGGTCTAAACTCAAATTCATTTTTATTTTATATACACCTTATACACATAGCCTGGAGGCAATGTTACATAGTTTTAAAATAATTTTGTGCATAAAACAAAGTTTGTGTGTACTGAACAGGCATTACATAAAGATGTCACTATCTTAGCCACTCATGTAACAGTGTTGGATTTCGGTGTAGTTTGGATTTCTAGATAAATAGTAAATAGTAAATTTGTTCTCTTGATGAAGAGTAGGACTTTAATGTATGGAGACACAAACCCCAACACAAGTCAGTTGCCCTTATCCTCTAAACACCTTGTATATCCAATGGTTACATATCAGACCATTCATAAAATGTGATTTTTAATCTGCAGAGTCCATCATATAGGATCAGACTAATGTACTTTGTTGTTATTGTTGTTACTGTTATGGCAGGATCATCAGAACCAAAGTGCAGCAGCCTTTCCACCCAACACCAGATGGGAGTGGGACAGGAGTGAGTGCACCTGGACATACTATCGGTAAGAAGAAATTTGAGGTAGTGCAGAATGAGAAGAAAAGTTGGGAATCTGAATGATATAAAGTCGAACACACTGAAACAGAAGGATAATGTAAGCTGAGACAAACCGGCTTGCAGATATGAACCTTAAATGCCAAATGAGATGAAGGTTTTGTCCATAGCCAATGTTTATCCTGCAATTGCATGTGTTTTGTGTTTGTATGTCTGATCATGGTTCTGATCCTTGGTACATGTCTGTGCTGGCAAATCTATTTTAGAGAAGTTAGTTGCTTTACAAAGTAATGAGGACCAGACTTTTAGCCTTGTAGAGATATTGGTACAGTATATGTAAGTTGGGCTTACAAAAATGTGTTTGGTACTGCTACATTTTACAAAAAATAATTCATTTCTGCTGAAACACTGCACAAAAACATTACAGCCAGTTGTTTTGATGTCACTTGGTGGAGTCCGCATATACACATATACAATGCACCCCTCTAGTGATACAATTGATTCACTGGAAGGAGAACACCCTGACTGCAGTGTGACTGCAGTACAGATAAGAAGCAAGTCTCAAATAGAGCTTTTGATCTGAGAATATGATTGCATAGAAACACATATAACGAAAGCTGGGTTGCTGTAAGTTTTTCGGTTTGGGTTGCTGTAAGTTTTGAGGTCTGACAACCTCTGAGGATGCCTGCCATAGATGCAGGCGAAATGTTAAGAAAAAATGCTTCTGGAACATGGCCATACAGCCCAAAAAAACTTACAGCAACCCAGTGATTCTGGCCATGAAAGCTTTCAACAATACATATATCAAAACTTTGCTCATCCCACCTTACAACAACAGTGGCTCCATTAGCATGGCTTCCTATCCTAAATAATACTTATATGGTCAAACATAGACTCATATAATGCAGTTCAGTGCCTACACTGATCATATAATGTAGTTTGAAAGTGCATTATATGGCAATAGAGATGGAGACTTAGAGAGGCCAAAAATAGACGTTCAGCTGTCATTTTCATTTAAAAAGAAGCAACAAACATACTTCTAGTAGACAGGGAAAGGGACAACCTCCAGATAGTTAAATTGGACCAGGCAGTTTTGCAAGGTCTAGGAAGTATTTCACAGATATACTATACCAACTCCCTCCCTCCCAAATAGCACTTTGACTTTTCTAGTACATTCTAATTTTTTAAAAAGGCTGTGGAGATTTTTGTTGATGTTGACAAAACAAGGTGTGAAGGTGGATCCTTTAGAGCAGAATCACAATGTTGATTACTTCCAGAAGTATTGATTTTTTATTTATCATTATTAAAAGTGAACCGGCAGTACAGTTGTAATGTATTTTTAACAACATACACAGAACAACCAGAAGGGACTTCTAGAAGTATGAATGACATCAGTGTCTTCAGCCAAAAATGGAGGAGTGATGAAGTAGCATACCTTATTGAGGAGAAGAGAATTGTTGTCCTCCTGCAAGGACACAGCAGCAGTAGATGTACTTTTTTGAACAACTTTTGATAAACATTTTTATCCTGAAGGGTTTCAAATCAACTCTGTGATGACTACATGATTCACAGGTGAATTCTAGGTCTTGTTTAATGCCGCCTTGAACCATGTTAACAAAAAGTTGCAGGTTCCTCTGGAGCAGGGGTCCTCAAACTTTTTAAACAGAGGACCAGGTCACAGTCCCTCAAACTGTTGGAGGGCCAGATTATAATTTGAAAAAAAATTGAATGAATTCCTATGCACACTGCACACATCTTATTTGTAGTCCAAACCCCACTTAAAAACAATACAATAATTAAAATGAAGAACAGTTTCAACAAATATAAATTTATTAGTATTTCAATGGGAAGTGCGGGCCTGCTTTTGGCTGATGAGATAGGATTGTTGTTGTTGTTATGTACTTTTGAGTTATTACAGACTTAGGTTGACCCTGGGTGAGGGCCAGATAAATGACCTTGGAGGGCCGCATCCGGCCCCCGGGCCTTAGTTTGAGGACCCCTGCTCTGGAGTTTCCTTGAGAATCTGGAGCAAACTGAAAGTTCAGGCCCATGTAAACAGTTGGGATAGAATCATCCACAAGGTTTTACATAGATAGCCTTCAGTCCTCCTCCTGTTCTTATAGCAAACCATGACTTTGTTATCCAACCCATAATAACTCTCACTACCTGTGCATTCCTAGGGAGGTTGGAAGTGCCTTCTGTTGGTCTCATGGACAGAGGTCATTGTTTGTAAGAGTGGTCTCCAAATATCAATGCCCTTGCACTCCATGTAAAATAATTTGGTTCTTTGAATATTTTCTCCAACAGCAGAACTGCTGCTTTCTACATAAACAGATAGACATCCTACTCTATCTTGTGATTAAGCTATAGGTTAGGTATATCTCATGAAATGGCTGGTGGCTGTCATCGCTCAAGGTCTGGGGTAATGACAGCAGGGGCGCAAGGATGATTAGAGAAGAGAGGGGGGAAAGAGGGGTGATTCCTTCTCTCCCAGCTTCTGTGTCCCATGTTACTCTGGCACCTTGGCCAATGTCACTCTAAGCAATGAACAACAGCCACCAGCCATTTTGCACCCGGAGACTGCTGCTATGATTAGGACAGGAGAGCAACAGTAAGAGCCGCCTCAAACTAGCCTCCTGCGGGAGCAAACTGTGCGAGCACATCCCTGACGTCATGAGCCTGCGCCTCTCTCTCCGCCCCTTTCTCCGCCTCTTTCTCTGTGCCAGAGTGGTTTTTCCTTTGCTAGGGCAGCATTGCCAGCGTACTCTCGTTGTTGGCTGAATTCAACAACGAGAGTACACTGGCAATGCTTCCCTAGCAAAGGAAAAACCACTCTGGCACGGAGAAAGAGGCGGAGAAAGGGGCGGGGAGAGAGGGGGAGACTCATGACGTCAGGGACGTGCTTGCACAGTTTGCTCCCGCAGGAGGCTAGTTTGCGACGGGTCTTAGAGTAGCTGTCCAAGTGTGGCACTGCTGGCTGCTCAGGACTCCTTTCTGTCTCCACAGTGGCCAGGGGTGGGATATGGGGAGTTTGGCAATAAGGACTTATTTCCTCCTCTGCAGTGTCTCAGGGCTGATCTAGTGTTTGTTGTTGTGGAATTGGCCCCGGGATGAAATGTCCCTGTAGAACTGTTCCTAGAAGAGGCATTACCCTGGTGTGTGAAAGAAGACCTCTTTTAAAGCATACCACAAAGATAGCAGCACAGAGAAATTCAGCAGCTTCAAGAGATGAAGATATTAGTTCAAGTAAGTGGTATAAATCCCAACATGTTTTATGCAATTAGCTCTTCATCAGGGAACTGTCAGAAAAAGAATTAACACACACCTCTGTAACCACTGTTGGAATCTCAGTAGGTCAGTGGCTCATTTGGGAGTGAGTCATCTAAGAAATTGTAATAGATATGGACTATTTCCTTTTCTGTCACTTCCTTGATAAAGACCTAATTGCTCTTTTTAGACACCGGGATTTATATCATTTGGATTAATACAATTGTCTCCTGCATCTGCTGGATTTCGGTTTCTATCTTTGAAAATTAGGCCACTGTTTCTTTCCACCTCATCTCTTTTTGTAAGCACTTTGCCCTTAGGCTTGTATGCATTGTTACTAAAAATATGTTTAGGTTTGAAAAAAGTTTATTCCTTGATTAATTAAGACCATGTGTAATCACTTTAAAACTTTTTAAATTCCGCATAATACTAATCAGCACTAAATGTATTTGATTTATGAAATTAAGTTTTACAAATGAAATATAAATTAATGTCTTAATCAAATTAATTAGTTAGTCATCCTAATAGGAAAGGGAAATAATGAGATGCAGGTGGCCTCAGCTGAGGTTCTAATCCTGTTACCACGCCAAGGGAAATTAAGCTAAATTTTAGTGCATGCTTAAGAGTATATGGCAATTATTTCTATGTATACCTGTGTATACATAGAAATAATTTCTTTTGAGACTGATTGGAGCCAATGATAGCAGAATTAATACAATTCCGAACAGCTAAGTTGCTGGCTCAGAACTTTCTCCAGGTCAGAGAATATGTACTTGTGCTATTAAACAAAACTGTGTTGTCTGAAATCAAGATGAGATACCCTTTGTGACATGCTTACCATTTTAAAAAAACAGGTTCTAGCTTAGTAAACTGGCAAAATGATGTGGCTGCCATGTACCTTGATTTTAGTAAGGCTTTTGGGCAAGTATCCTCTCTCTGATATCCCTGTAGATTCTTTGGTAACATATAGATTACAGCAGGCATGGGCAAACTAAGGCCCATGTTGATGTGCCCTCCTCATTTTCCCTGTCCTCTCGGCATAGGACACGGTGGTCTGCCACATTCTTATGTAGAAAGGATGGAAGAGGAAGTCACACAGCAGCTCAGAGCCCTCTGAAGTGCTCCCAGCCACCACATGCAAGTGGCCCCATCCTTATGCTGAGAGGAGGCCAAAGGAAGGCACACAGTGGCTGAGAGTCCTATGGAGTATTCTCAGCCAACATCTCTCTTTTCCTCCTCCCGGAATAATGCCGAAAGAACAGCCCAAACATCAGGGGAGAAAGATCAGGGAGGAGGATTGGGGCAGTCACCACATGTTTCATTTTCCTCCCGGCATAAGCATGGAGCAAGCAGCTCCATCCTTATGCCAGAAAAACAACCTGAGGATGACCCAGGTCCTGCCCCAACTTCTCCTGGCCTCACCCTCTCAAACCAGCGCATGCCTGGCCACCCTCCCTCTTGGCCCAGCCCTCGTAGGCAGGCCCACGATGTGGCCCCAAGGCGGAAAAAAAATGCCCATGCCTGGATTACAAGATGTATGAAGTGACAGACCGAACCCATAGACTGCTCAATGACTGTTCCTAATTGGAGAAAAAATGAGAATGCTGTGCCATAGGATTTTGGTCTGGGCCCATTGTTGTTCATCTTTTTTAAAATAAATGACTTGGAAAAAAAGAACAGAATATAGGCTCATCAAATTTGCAGATGTCACAGGACGTGGGGTGTTACTTAATATATCATACA